CTTCACCATTTAAAAGAATGAACAGGTCATTTTGGGGAATGGGGGGTGGAGTGTTCCTGACTTTTCTGTCTCTCAGGTGACCTGACGTTGGAGGCCTGGGTTTCTGTGATTTGGCAGAAATGTGTTTTTTATTAATTCCGAGGTCTTGGCTGTATTTGGAAGTAGGAATAGAAGACACTCCACAAATCCATCTTTAATAATGGAAAGTCAGCATTGCGTTCACATCGTATTGAGTTTCCCACACTGTCCCGCGTTTTCTTGTGAGGCTGTTTGGTCCAGTGCTTTCTGTGGACGTGCCTGGCAGCAGAGTCCAGGGGCTGGGGATGTAGCTCAGAGGTACGCACAGCAGAAAGTGTGTACCCTGGCAGCAGCCTGCAGAGGCGGGACTCACAACAGATATTTCACTCATTTGACTCCCATTTTGGGGTGAATTGGGTTCCTCTCTTGGGGCACGCGACCTGTCATGCAGTCGCGTGCTCACATGGATTTGTTTTTGTGCAAAACAGAATGTGAACAGGCATTCCTTTATGGCCACCTCCCCACTGGTGGGCAGGCCCCGGGATGGCCTTGGCCTGGTTTTCCCAGTCCCTTGTGCACACCCCACTGGGTGCTCTGTTGGCACCTGGCTTTATTCCATGGGGAAACCACAGCTTAGGGAAGGTGAGGAACTATGGCCGGACAGAGGCATTGGAGGCAGGGTGTCCTTTGTCCCGCCTTCCCTCTGAGCTGGAGCTTAGGAAAGCCCAGGAGAGACTGGCCAGGGTCAGAGAAGGCCTGAATGACCTCTCTCCTGACCTCTGCTGGCCCCTGTGGTGGGGGAAGGAGGAGAGAAGGTCTTCCCATAAACACATTTGGTCAGCACGTCTCTGGGTGGCTGCCGCAATGTCCTGGCTGGTTTCACAGGCTCACCGATGCCTTGAGAGACTCGTTAAAGGGAAAGAAGATGGGAATAAAGTAGGAAGGCAGTGCCCAGGCTGAGGGCATTAAAATGGCAAATAGCCAAATCCACCTGGCAGGCTGCAAAGGAATGAGATGTTGCAGGTGGGCAGGCCTCGAGCTAGCACCAGGGCCTGCGTGTTGCACAAGTTCATTTATAGGAAATGATTGGAATAAGCAAACCTGTAGGGGTAGAGAGCAGGTTGAGGTTTGATGGACAGCTGGGCACATCTGTGATCCTGGCAGTGTGAGGCCAAGGCAGGAGGAGCACAGGTTTGAGGCCAACGGGGGCTACTTAGCGAGACCCTGCCTCAATATAAAATATAAAGTGGACTGGGGGTGAGCTCAGAGGGAAAGTGCCCCTGACTGGGTTCAGCCTCTAGTACCAGAAAAGGGCCAGGTTTGTCAGAGACCTGGGAGGTGCAGGATGGGGACATTGGAGGGGTGGAGACTAATAGGGCGCTAGCATTCTTTGGGGTGTAATGAAAATGTTCTGGAATTAATTTATAGTGATGAATGAGTCACTTCAAATATTTTAAAAGCCATTGGTGTTTTGTGAGCATGTTTGAGCATGCACTGGGGACTGAACCCAGG